TGCAGTTTCCTCTCTGACCACCTCCTGTTGTGATGCTGCTTACAGCCTACAGTGTGCAGGACCAGGCTGCTCACTTGCTCTGTGCCTTACTCAGTGCCTACCTGCATGTGGCACGGTGCCTCAGTGGTTAGCACTGCTGCCTCACAGTGTCAGGGACCCAGGCTCGATTCCAGCCTTGGGTGACTGTCTGTGTGGAGTTTGCACATTCACCTCGTGTCTGCGTGGGTTTCCACTGGGTGCTCCGGTTTCCTCCCACAGTAACAAAGACATGCAGGTTAGGTGGATTAGCCATGCTTAAATTGCCTGTAGTGTCCAGTGGTGTGAAGGCTCGGTGGATTAGATGTGGGGAAATGCCGGGTTACAGGGTTAGGTGTGTGGGTCTGGGTGGGATGTCCTATGGAGAGTTAGTGTGGACCCAATGGGCTGAATGGCCTGCTTCCACACTATAGGGATTCCAGGAAGCCTACCACCAGTTTTGTGGGCTGTTTTCTCCTGGGATGAAAGAAAGGAGATGAAAATGGGTGGCACAGCTGGTGAGGGTGGGCGAAAGGTGGTGAGGTATGCCAAGTGAGTGAGTAGGCAGCAAAGAGGCCTTGTGAGGTAAGGGGTGGGGGGTGTGGTGTGGATGAGGGTAAGTGGGGGAAGGTGTTACAGGTAATAGTGAGAGGAGGAGAGTGGGAGCTGGGTACAATAGCAGGGAGAGAGGGAGGGAGCGTGAGAAGATGGTAGCACTTACCCAGGCAGAGAGGAGATGTTCATTAACCTCCTTCTTCCATCGCTGGGCATTCCTGCAGACTACACTGACCCAGGCGGCTGGTATGCCCTATTGCTGTGTCCTTCTCTGTTGGTCCAGGGGGTAGAGAATGAACCATGTCTGAAACAGCTCCCCCCAACCAATATCCAGCAGGGCCTCCAGACCCTGCCTGGAAAGTGGAATGCCCATTATCCCTTCTGTGCTACATCCTGAACCGTGTGGGTCAGCTCTGGACTGAAGATGGCACTGTTGTCGGGGATGCCAGTCCATTTGGGATATCCAGGCAGTGGGGAGTTCTTCGGGCTGTGGCACATGGTGGAATCAGACTAGTATTGGACAAGAAGGGTGCTGTGGGGTAGGGATGGGCAGGAGATTAATGAGACAGGTTTGGGACGATAATGTGATAAAACTCACTCGGCCTCACGGATAGAAACCCTCCATGAAATTTGCTGTATTTGACATGCTGCCTAAAATATGGTAAGATGCAGGCCCACGATACCCAAACCAGTGTTGCCCAATAGAAGTTACTGACAGGGCCATGTCAATGCCATGTGCACTGGAGAGTCCCTGATGCACAATCGTTGCTTCACACGTGGATACTTCTTCTGGTGTATCTGCTCCCAAAGTAAAGCACTCACATTGATCTCAAACCGTTTTGATACTGCTTTTTCCTCACAGACAGATCCACAACAAACTTCAAGTTCACTTACATGCACTTTGCAAATGAGTAGCCTAATCACATGACCAACGCCAGAAACTGTGGTTGCATTTTTTAAAATCTATAATGGATTTCTTGATATCAGGATTTCTATTATATAGAACAGCATAGAATCCTTACAGTGTGGAAACAGGCCACTTAGCTCAACAAGTCCACATTCACTCTCTGAAGATCATCCCACGCAGATTCAACCCCCGACCCTGCATTTCCCATGGCTAATCCATCTAACCGTATGTCCCTGGACACTATGGCTTACTTAGCATGGCCAATCCACCTACTTTGCACATCTTTGGACTGTGGGAGGAAACTGGAGCACCCGGAGGAAACCCACGCAGACACAGGGTGAATGTGCAAACTCCAAACAGTCAGTTGCCTGAGGCTGGAATTGAACCCGGGTCCCTGGTGCTGTGACGTAGTAGTACCAACCACTGAGCCGATATGCTGCCCCATTTTTAAATTTTCAACTGTCATGACAGACAGTTCCCAATTCTGTGATCCATTAATTCTGCTTCTGTTCCCTTTTGGTCTTTATTCTCCAGGTTTGACACGTTGAGTGCCCTTGTTTTCCTCAGTTCATCCCCTCACTCCTATACAGAGTGCTCAGGCCTGAGTTTGAGGTATATAGAATGTATATAATAAACATTACCTCGGTCTCCGAGATTAATGCTCCAGTGATGATACTAAGAGGCCATCACCACTGTGGGTGGTATCAGCGACATGGTTAAATGGTTAACATATTGCACTCACTGAAATAGACCCTCACAATACACAAAGTGTTGTACTACAGCCTTGTACATGCCTTTGTATAAGAGTCGTAGCTAAAACAGAGTCTGAGAATTTATCTGCTTCTATAATTCAGCATCTACTATGTATAATTCATTGCTTGTCTACAGTTACAACACTGGTATAACATCAGAGACAGTGCATTCAAGCTGTAGTGAGTTTACAGTTCATGTTCATCAGGATGGTAGGGAATTGTGCAAACTCATAAACAAAACACCCAGACAGTGTATCATTACCTGCACCATTCCGTGTTCACCTGGCCTGGGCAGTGGGACATTCCGTGTTCACCTGGCCCGGGCAGTGGGACATATCCGTGTGTGCCTGGCCCGGGCAGTGGGACATTCCGTGTGTGCCTGGCCCGGGCAGTGGGACATTCCGTGTGTGCCTGGCCCGGACAGTGGGACATTCCTTGTGTGCCTGGCCCGGGCAGTGGGACATTCCGTGTATGCCTGGCCCGGGCAGTGTGGTGTCCGGTATAGATGGTACCCCCTTTGCCTCAAGCATGCTGAGCCTTTGACCTGTTCCACAGCTGAAGGTATTTAGCCTTCTGCAGGATGGAAATGAGATTGTGCGATCTCTTCCACTGACCGGCCTTCCTCCTTGTCAACCATCCCTCACCCCCGCTGTTACTAATGAACCTTTTTATCTTGAAGTGTGAACATGACTGAGTTGTAACCAGCTCGTGAGCAGCAAGTGTCACTGCAACTACTTGGTGTATTTCCCATTATCCATTGGTTACATTCAAATACTGGTGACCATGCTGAAGGTGAGGGTCTATCGAAAACAATGATCATCATCGATGTGGCAACTCCATAGTAACTGCATGCTGCCGAGTGTCTGATTTTACTGCAGGATGACACCCTGAGTAAAAATGGTTTCTTTTTTTCTCAAAGGTTTTCATTGCCTTGGGAGAGACTTTACTCGCTTTGAATTGGGCAATTATTGCAGACATTCTCTTGGTAAGTCCCACTCCCTGGTTCACTGCTGTGTCATTAACTAATTTGAGCCAAATAATATTTTCTTGTTCCTCAGGTCATTTGGAGGTGAATGCGTGAGAACAACGTTGAAGTTTGCAATCTCCAATGTCTCATCAGAGGAGAATGATGAAGCCAGTTTCTTGATCTTGTCCTATAATCTTAGCTAAAAATCATCTGATTCTCAAGGAACTCTGATTGTCACCTGGCTTTCCTTTTACCATTGCATCTTGACTGCGTGAAACGTACGAGCATGAGCAGGCTATTCAACGTCTGAATTGTCCAAATATTCCATTCAATGTATCAGATCTGAACCTCAACTCCATCCAATTTGCCCTGATTCCATATCCATTGACACCGTGGCTTGATATCTTTATACATGAGTATGTGGCCCCAGGTTGTATTTTGTTCATTCATGGTATTTGGGTGCACTAGTTGCCCCTTGAGGAGAAGATGATGAGCTGCCTTCTTGGATTGCTGTAGTCCATGTGCTGTAGGTAGACCCACAGCGCAGATAGGGAGGCAATTACAGGATTTTGACCCAGCAACAGTGAAGGAGCGGTGATATATTTCCAAGTCAGGATGGTGAGTGTCTTGGAGGGGAGTTTTCAGGTGTTGGTGTTCCCATGTTTCTGCTGCCCTTGTCCTTCTAGATGGTAGAGGTAGCAAGTTTGGAAGGTGCAGTTGACACAGCCTTGGTGAGTTCCCACAGGGCATCTTGTAGGTGGTACACGCTGCTGCTACTGAGCATCGGTGGTGGAGGGGGTGGATGTTGAAGGTGAAGGATGGTGTATCAATCAACTGGATTACTGTGTCCTGATAGTTTCTGGATTCTCCACCAATGGAAATAATTTCTTTCTACCTATTCTATAGAAAGTTATGTTGCGTAGTGGGTAGTGTCCCTGTCTGTGAGTCAGAAAGTCCCAGTTTGAGTCCCATTCTAGGACTTGATGGCTAAGGAAGGTGCATTCATAAGAGACCAAACAGGTTGAATTTCAGTTGTGTAAGTCTTTCCAACACATACCAAAAGCAGGAGCTGAGAACGGGCTGGAGGGATTCCTGGTCAACCACCAGTCAGAAAGAAATTGGAGCCTCTTCCATCACTATTCTTAGCTCCAGCCAAAGGTTCTTGCAGTGCAGTGGTAGTACCCTCACCTCTGGACCAGGACACCTAGGTTGAAGTCCCACTTGCTCCAGAGGTGTGTGATAACATCTCCATTGATCCGGACTGCAAGGTGCAGGTAAATGTGCACGTTATCAGACTTGAGTGAACTGTGACACCACACGCACACACACGCACACACTGAGCCACCACAATTAGCTCATGTTTCCCAATCTGCTATACTTGATAGAATGGCCAGTTTCAAAAATTGATGTCAAACCATTGCTGAAATAGAGGATTGCAAATTGTTGTATGATTTCCTCTATGATGTGTCCCACACATCTCAAAAAAAGAATGTCAGTTCCTCGGGTAATCCCAATCCCTTGTACCCTTTTATAGTTTCTCAGCCATTTATTTTGCTGCCCAATCCAGATAGGCCATTCTTTCTCACAGGGTGAGACAGACAATATGCAAAAGTAGTCAAGTTGTTGCACTCTTTCTTCTGTATAAACACAGCTTCAAATCCATTGCATGTACCACTTGTTACTTCACCTTTAGTTAGCCAGCTATTAAAGAGGCTTCAAATCATCTGGTTTAGCCAGTGATGTTTCTACCAGTGGTAACGAAGCAACGGACAATAGAGTTGCTGGTGGCAATCACTTGTCGAAAAAGTAGATTTGACCTCCACGAGCCAGTTTGGATTATCTAAAGGGATCAGGAGAAATTTTCCAAACCCTTTGTTTTTGAAGCTGGCTGGAGTTTTAAATCTGCTATCCATTGGGTCTCCCAAAAGATCAAGTGTCTTTGCGTAAGGTGAGGAGTGTATGCAGAGGATAACCCTGGGTGTGGGATAGTCTGGATGGGCCAAATGTTTCCTGTCAGGTATATGTTTGAGAGGTCATAGAGAGCAGCCCAGACATGGCAGCCATGTTCTTTCACAGCAATTGAACTGCTCCAGGCCTTGTACCTCACGGGCAAGATCATTCCATTCATTATTCAACGCCTCACCAAGAAAGATAGACACCAAATCCACAGGCAAAAGCCAGGAGCGAGGGAGGAAATTACTTTAAAATGGAAGTGAGTTGCTCTTAAGTAAACAAAGGTATTTGTTCTTGTTCCTCTTTGAGAGCATTTGTTCTATAGGGGCGTGGGATGCATTGCCTGAGAGGGTAGTGGAGTCGGCCTCATTAGGGGCTTTTAAGCGGCTATTAGACAGGCATATGGATGATCGTATAAGGTAGGGGTGGATGATAGTATAAGGTAGGGGTGGAGGTTAGATAGACCTTAGGATTCGGGTAAAAGTTCGGCACAACATCATGGGCCGAAGGGCCTGTACTGTGCTGCACTGTTCTATGTTCTATGTTGTAATGCACTGTGGGGCGGCATGGTGGTTCAGTGGTTAGCACTGCTGCCTCACAGCGCCAGGAAACCGGGTTCTTTGCACATTCTCCCCGTGTCTGCGTGGGTTTCCTCCGGGTGCTCTGGTTTCCTCCCACGGTCCAAAGATGTACAGGCTAGGTGGATTGGCCATGCTAAATTGCCCATAGTGTCCAGGGATATGTAGATTAGGTGGATCATAGGGGGATGGGTCCACGTGGATGCTTTGAGAGTTGGTGTGGAGTTGTTGGGCCGAAGGGCCTGTTTCCACACTGTAAGGATTCTATGACTATTCTATGACCGTAATGCAATCCAAGAAGGTTGAACCATTCTGATGGAAGTACAGTCATCACAATAAAGGTACTCGGTGGGTTTCTGTTTATCTTTCAACATACTTAGCCATTTATCACCATGAGATTTGTAAAGACTACATCAGACTTGCATTCCATTCTAAGCCACCGCATTCCTGGGTCATTGTAATTGGTTTCTGGTGTTGTACAATGTGGATCTTTTTGATGAGCTGGAGAATTCCAGCTCTGAGGAGAGATTAGAGGTTGTTTTCTTTGGAACTCAGGAAGCTGAGAGAAGAAATAATTGAGGTGTATAAAATTCTGAGCGGCTTAGATAGAGTGGCTGGGATGGACTTATTTCAATTTCCAGAAGAGGTCAATAATCAGGAGCCATAAGCTTAAAATAATTGATGGAAGGTTGACAGGGGAGAAGAGGAGAAGTTTGTTCACCCAGAGATTGGAGCAGATCTAAAGTTCACTGCCTTAAAGGATGAGAATTGAAGAATTTCAGAAATGATTTCCAAGCTCTTTGTTTTCCAAACTAGCCTGGGCTTTTAATCTGCTACTTTTTGGCTCTCCCAAAAGATCAAGTAGCTTTGGGAAGGGATTAAATTAAGATTAGACCCATGGGATTAGAATAGTTAGGTGCTTGCTTTGGACAAATGCAGATCTGATGGGCTGAAGGGCCTTTTTCTGTGCTGTAGACCTCAATGACTCTAAGACAGTTGGATATGAACTTGACGCCTCCCAGAGTTACAGTGTGGGTTTCCTCTGGGTGCTGGGTTTCTTCCCACAGTGCAAAAATGTGAAGATTAGCTGAATTAGCCATGCTAAATCACCGATTGTGACCAGGGATGTGCAGGCTATGTGGGTTAGCCATGGGAAATGGGTGTTAAGGGGATAGATTAGAGGGGTGGGTCTGGGTGGGATGCTGTTCAGAAGGTTAGTGTGGACCTGATGGGCCGAATAGCCTGTTTCTCTACTGTAGGAATTCTATCTATCTATCTATCTATTAGACCAAGAACTGGAAAGTGGGATACGTTGGTTAGGATGTCAGCTTTTTGCTGATAACCAAGGTAGGCTAAATGGCCTTCTTCTGGACTGTAAACATTCACGTTTCTATCAACAACCCAATAATTCTCTCCTCATCTCTCGATTTTGGGGTTTGGCAGATTGTTTATGAGAACCAGCTTCATGGAATGGTGTTCATTAGCCAAGTGGGCGTGAGAATGGAGAGTTTGGAGGCGGGCGGTTTCAATGTATCCCATCTTCTGTACAAATCTTTCCCCCTCCACCCTGGATCCATCCTTATGGAGCACCCTCTCTGCCAACAGTGATACCTATGGATTTCACTTTTCAGTAGACAAAGAGGTGGATTTCAGCCACTGAATGTTGAAATGCCAAAGGATAGATCAATTCCAAGCTTTGTTGTACAAGATAATAGTGAAGTAAATACATTGGAGGTGGTTTACTGGAAAGAGTAGTTTTTCAACTGAGGAGGAGTTGAACAGGTTGGGCAGGTTTCCATTGGATTTTAGAAGAGTGAGGGGTGATTTGATTGAAGTTTATAAGATACTGAATGATCTTGACAAGATGGAGGTGGGAGTGATCTTTTGTGGGTGGGGTCCAGACTATGGGCTCTGTTTTAAAATCAGGAGTTGTCCTTTCAGGACAGGTCTCTTCTGGAATACTGTGTCCAGATCTGGCTGCCCTGTCATAGGAAGGATATCACTTAGCTGGAGATGATTCAGAAGAGATATACCAGGGTTGCCGGTAATGGAAGGTTTGACTTATAAAGAAAGGTTGGATAGGCAGAAACTTCTCTTGCCGAAGTGTAGGAGTTTGAGAGGTGACCTGATAGAAATTTATAAAATCTTGAAGGGTATAGATAGGGATAATGGTAGTTGTTTTTGCCCGAGGATGGGGGGTTTCAAGACTAGAGGGCACATTTTTAAGGTGAGAGGAAAAAGATTTTAAAAAAGATGGGGGCAAATTTTTTTACACAGAAAGTGGTTCACGTGTGGAATGAACATCCTGAGGAAATGGTGGATGTGGGCACAGTTACAATGTTCAGAAGACATTTGGCTAAGTACATGAATAGAAAACGTTTGGAGGGATATGGGCCATGGGCAGGCGGGTGGGACTAGTTTGGTTTGGGATTATGGTCGGCATGGACTGGTTGGACCGAAGGGTCTGTTTCCATACTGGATGACTCTATGATAGAGACGAAGAGAATTCTTTCTCAGAGGGTTATGAGATTTTGCTTCAGAAGGCGATGGAGGTGGGGTCATTGAATGTCTTAAAGGGAGAGAGATGAATATCTATTTCCTGTTTAGCAGGGAAATCGAAGATTATCAGGCTAGTTTGGGAATGAGGTATTCAAAACATAAACATATCAGCCATGATCATACTGAGTGGCGAGTGGCCTCAAGTGGATGAAAGGCTGCACACCCTCCTATTCAAATGTTTGTCGTGTAGACTGGACAAGCCAGGACTATTCTCTGTAAGGAAGATGTTAACTGCAGAATTAACAAAGGTGTTCATAATTCTG